GTGCAGGACCATCTCGTCCTTCCAACCGGATCTTATGCTGACCAATCAGCACTCATAAAAGAAGCTTAAGACTGATTATCTTTAGCGACCAGAGGTCTTCTTCCCTTAGCAGCGTCCACTGAAGATGAACTTTTGAAAGTAAACATTTTTTTAATTTCAGCTTTTGGAGGTGACTCACCCAGAATAAAAATCTCTTTTGACGATTGTTCGTGGCATATATTTTTTATGAGAGTTTCAGTCGCTTCCTAACAACCGTGCCAGAAACCCTTTAGACCTTTGGAACTTTAATGTTCATTGGTTTGTACAAAAACAGCATTGCAAGGTGTCTGTTGTTGATAACTCTTATCGGTATTACTTCAAAGTTATACAATGCATAAGTAACTTGTTTTTCACAATCGCCCATCGCCACGTGTCCAACGGGACACATCCCGATGTGAATATGCCAGAATCGAGTCCATTGTATGTACATTCAGTGGCTCAATCGAAATCTCCGTTTCCATCGCTCTCTTTTATCCGCCTTCATATTTTCTATTTCGATCTAATCGTCAAAACTCAACTTTTGTCCATATTGACGCTGTTCAAGGATCGGTTCAACTATGAAGTTCGTCTCAGACTCCGGTGATAATACTGAGGTGGGTCGTGTTTCAGTCGACTTTAAATGGTTCGGCCTTAGAAGTGGTAGCGATGTGCCAGTTGAAGTAGATCCACAGTTCTAACCTTTACTGCTTCATATTACTGCAATCCCACTGACAGATGATACCTCACAACATTTTATAAATAGTACTTCGTTGCTCACGGATTTCTAAGATTGAGAGAGAAAGGGTCATGAGTTACCTTCTGGACCCATCCGCTGAGGTTGGATTTGAGGTCATGGTCACTCGTCCTCATGCCTGATCATTGTCTGTCGGCGGTTCAGTTGTGTAGCTAAGGATCGGAGAGAACCTCAGGGCCTGTTATCGGGGCTTTTTTGAGACTAGGATTCCTCTAGCTTCGAAAGAAGACCTAGGGTTATAATGCGGATTGACTGACAGTAGGCAGCCGTCCTTGATAATGCCGTCTGTGCAACTGCTTTAACGAAAATAAGGTTCCTACAGAATTTGGTGATCTACGGCGAACTCACCTTCCAGTTAGGACCCACTTCATAAGTTATGTCGGGGTTGTTTTGATAGCCGAGAGTGTGTGGCAGCTGAACGTTTGCAACAGCGCTCCGATCGATTTTACCGCACAATGCCACGCGTTAATGGCATTCGCCCTTGACCATTAATGTCTCCATAGCTTCATCTTTATTTATTCCGTAAATTTCAAGACAGCTCAGTTAAAAAGGTAATCAATTGTTTATTCAAGGGTTTAAAGATCCGAGGTAAACCTACAAGGGAACTGTAAGAGTAAGCTGTTCTGCTTGGGTTGGCTCTTTTGTTCGAGAAACACCTTAATCATAGAACCCCGTCGCGGGCAATTTCTCTACGTTACTCACTTTCCTAAGATCTTCTGTCAGATAATGCTCCAGATCTCGGTGCTGTTTTTTGACCTAATTTCATTGAAAGGAAACCTGTTTTATTTAAAAGTCAATTGTTTTTGGCCTCTGTCCACAATAATATGCTGATGAGAGAATGGGGATGTAAATGGTTTCCAGTTGTTTAGAGGCTTGAAGCTTGTCTCGGAGGCGACGGAGTTAATTCTGAGATGGCATCCGATGCCGAAATCGCAGCGTTCCGAGCGCGAAAGGTGGCACTAATCACCGGTATTTCAGGACAGGTGAGTGCCCATTCCAAGCAGACATTGAGAAGAAAATCTCGAGTTGAAAGAAAGCAAAGTCGATTTTAAGGATGGATCTTATTTGGCTGAGTTGTTACTTTCTAAAGGCTACGCAGTGCACGGAGTAATTCGCAGATCTTCGTCCTTTAATACAGCACGTATCGAACATCTTTACAGTAACCCCATCACTCATCGAGGTCAGTTTACAGCACATTTCGATCGACAAAGGCTTTTGGACAATTGTGTTACATAAACGTAGGCACTATCCTTTTGTATGATCATGATTGGTAACAAACAAAAGTGTAACAGCTGTTCCACGCTGTGTTTATCTTTGCAAGCGAAACGGGCTCCTCTATTTGCTCTCCTATGGATTTTCTTGTGGAACTGTCACCTGACTACGCAGGTGTGGATTGTTGGGTTGGGGCGCATCGGAGTTTCGCTTCGAGAAGTACCGTACTCGTCGCTTTCGCTCAGCAGCGTAACGTTCGGCAGTGTGACTGCATTCATAGTCTGCGTTGGCCACGCCTTACTGCTGTCAAAAATACCGGTATCGATCCGCTGCGCTCGGTACTCGGCCGCGTGCATACCACTGATAGGCCATCGCAATTTCTGGACGCGACTCGCGCGGGTTTCCTCTTATTAGCTGGATAGTTTTTAGTTCGAAGTCTGCTTCTATACACATCACCTGTATTAGCTGTCCTCCCGTTGATCGAAGACTTTCGAGCAGGCACCGTTATCTGCTAGCCAATGTAATCCCGTGGACCCTCCCCGCTCAGAGGACATGAGACGAACCATGCTTTCATTTGAAGCCCATGTAGAATGTCTAACCATTGACGCTGGCGGCCTTCCTGGTGTTCATTGCATTGAACTACACAACAGATTACAATTTCATAAGTTATTCCAAATGGACTGGGAGTAAATCCTACCTTGATTCAAATCGAGGAGTCCTTTTGTACTGCGGAAAGGAGCAGCTCATCTCGTCCAGGTAGGCATGACGTGGGTAAAGCTCTCTGGCGTGGAACCCCACGCAGTAGATATGAATTGTCATTATTGGCAAGTACAGACGTGTTTCACATGATCAAACCTCACTTCGCAATAGACTTACAAGCAAAAGCTTAGCGATCGTGTGTTGAAGAGCTGTATCGATCGGTTATTAGCAGATTGAGACAGGTTTATACAAAGATAGAGGTGTAAAAGTCAATGAACGAAGGTAGATGTGGGAGAAGGATGCCTCGGGCAAGCGAGGGAGGAAATTTCAAATAAGGTAAAAGTAGGAATTTTAAAGAAAGAGGAGGAAATGCGAGAAGATTGGTTCTACGCACGTAAAATAGTGTTCTCTTTTTTTGTTTGGGAGACCTACTTGGGAAACGATCATGGCTAACACTTAGCGAAAAATATTAGTTACGTTCGTTCATACCCTAAGTAGCATTTACTTTGTAAACCTCAACTACCTGGTGTGCTGAGAAAGTATGGTAATAACTGCATATTGATATCCTTTTTGGTTTTTTGCTCTCGAAAGATCCAAAGTCTTTCAGGGGACTCCTCATTTGCGTTACATTATGGTGACATGACAGACTCATCTTGTCTGATTAAGCTTATCAACACAATTCAACCTACAGAAGTCTACCACCTTGCTGCTCAGTCACACGTTAAGGTGAGGATTGGGTAGTTGTCTTATGAAATTCTCCTGACTGTCCTGTAATATATGTTTAGGTATCATTTGACTTACCGGAATATACGGCTGAAGTAGATGCGGTCGGTACGTTGAGGCTGCTTGATGCTATTCACGCTTGTGGTCTCACTGAAAAGGTTGATTGATTGGTCTTGTTATTTTTTCTCTCACTTTGTGTCTGGAGAATTCGCTTAAGTAGTGAATTTCCCTAGTCCTGAAAAGCAGCTGCCGGGAAAATAGTGTTTCTTTATGGATTTTTATACCTTGGTAACAACTTTTGAAAAACTGGCAGTAGTTTTAATGTTAGCTTGCAAGCGGAAATTATAAGTGAATTAATTGTTCTAACATAG